CACGGCGGCCGCTTCGAGCCCGTCGCGAGGGCGGCAGGCGCTCAGCAGCCAGAGGCACAGCGCGGCGGCCGCGCTCAGGTCCATGGACTCCGTGGGCCAGGCGGGAGGGCGACGCGGGCTCCGCGGCTCCGGGAAGTCCCCCGGCGCCTTTTGAACATAATGTTTAATAATGGGGGAAGTGTGCGCAGCAAGCCGCGGCCCCCCCTCCTCTCCCACCCCACCCCCGCCCAACGCCCGGAGCAGCGCCCCCTGCTGAACACTCTAGTGGCAGCGCTGCGCCCCCCACTCCGGCCTAACGCGGAGTCCAGGGCAGGAGCCTTCTCCCCCCTGCGTAGTGCTTCGCCGCCACTCTCGCCCAGGGAGTGATACCGGCCGGAGGCTCCCGCCACAACCCGGGGCCCCGCCTCCCTTCCCCACGGCAATGCGACCCCCCTCCGCCCACGCTTCGCCCGAGCCAAATGCGACGAAGCCAAACGCGCTCTCCGGAGTTACAGGCTCCGGGGCATCGTGCGTAACCGTCCAGCATCTTTCCCACTCCTCCGCGGAGAAGCACAGGGCCCCTCCCTGCTCCTACTCCGGTAATGCCCCAGACGCCAGAGGTGGGGCCGAGGAAGGGCTCGGCCCCTACTGTTCGTGCCGCGACCCCCTGGCCAACGCGCAGAGAAAGGCCACAAGGGCGCACAGAGGACACAGGGGCGCGCGCAGCTGCCACAAAGGGGCGTTTTTGATCTTCGGTTCTGCGGTTCCCCACCCTGCCACAGACCCACCCCAAAGATCGGAGCGGGTGGCCGGAACAGGGGAAGGGACCCATAGGGAAGAGAGGGCGAGCGGCTGAAAGGGCAGGCCAGAAAGATAGATGGACATGGACCGGCAGTCGGAAAGCAAAGGATTCGGCGCGGAACGTGCGCTTAAGCGGGAGCCAAGAGCTTAAAGGAGAGCAGGAGTTACGGAGGCAGCCTCGGGTGATGAGAAGTCTCCCGCGCGGGAGTGGCGCCCCGAGTTCATCTGTGCGTCGAAAGTGACCTTCCGCCCGCCTTCTAGGGAGGCCAGCTAACTGAAACGGGCCACTGGGTATGTTGGGGCGCGGCCAGAAGCCAGGAGGGCTGGCAGCGAAGAGCCTCGGGGTAGCGCCTCTGTACTTCCTTCCCCGGCTGCGATTATCGCAGGGGCGGGGGATGGGTGGAGAGGACGCCCGGCGGCGGCGGCGCCTCAGAGCGCACTCGCGCGGGTGGCGGGGCACTTGGGCCCGCAGCCGGCAGGGGTAGGTCTCGGAGGCCACGTGTCAGGGGGGCGCGCAGGGGAGGGAGGTCGTCGGCGAGTTTTGGCTCACTCCACGGGGTGCAAGAACAGCGGATGGACGAGGCCCTGTCTGGCGGACAGAGGGCCTGAGTCAGACAGACTCCCGAAGCAGGGCAGGCGCGTCCTTTTCCGAACTGGAAATCTAGACGGGTTAGTGCGTCACGGTCACTTTGAGTGGGTGCTAGGGGTCAACGCGATGCCACAGGACCCAAAGCCGCGTGAGTCCCGACCCTCTCCCCGTGGCGCCACACTGCGACCCATGGAAGGGGCCCGGCCTGGGGAGCTCCTGGGCCGACTGCGGCCCAGGCTCCCAAGTTCCCCTGCACCAGCTGCTTCGTCCCAAGCGAGCTCCTCTGTCGTGGCCATCGCGGCCACCGCGGATACGCGGCATCTGCTCAGCTTGGGACTTTGGGCCATTCACGACTCGGGGACATACGGGGGCAGGAGGAGAGGCCTGGCGAGGTGTCGCTCCGCGAGGACTCCGGGTGGAGAAGAAAGGCCCGAGATTAGCCTGGGAAGGTCTGAGCAGGAAGGGTGGTGTGCGGCTGGGATGACCGGGGCTGCATTGTCACCCTGTCTTTGGGAGAATACAGAGCCGGCGACAAGGCCACCACCACAGGTCTCCCTCTCTGGGTGGTGGCGGTACAGTGCGACCCTGCAGGGACCCGCGCAGGCTGTCTGGCAGGGACGCCCCCTAGAGACGCCGCCCAGCTGAAGCTGGTGGTGGGTTCCTGCTGTCCTCGGCTCCTTTACACCTGCAGCCACACATAAGTCCCTTGCATCCTCTCTCTTCAGTTTCTCTAACTGTGTAAAGAAGAGAATGGAAAAGTCCTGGCACACACTTCATACAGTGGGTACCAAATAAATGTTTGTTGGTTCCATGATACCCCTGCCCTGAGGCCACTTTGGGGCTTAGGAATTAGGGATGGGGTGGAATCCCTGTGCCCTTGCTGTCCCTGTGGGAGCAAGCCACTTAGCTTCTTTGAGATTGGATGTCATTTGTGAAATGGGAGGATTCCCACCTCGGAAAGTTTGTGTGTGGCCAGAACAGGCCGGCACAGAGGAGGCTCAGCGCCCCCACCCCCCAAACCCTCAGTCTGCTCTTCGACCCAAAGATGATGATGGCCGGGAAGGAAGCAGCTTATAGACACTGGAACGCTCTGAGGAGACTGCCTGGGGGCGGGCTGGTGTTGCTGGAGCCCCTGCCCACCAGTGTGTGTGCTCCCACCAGGACTTAACTACTCTCTCCTGTGTTTCTTGGTCTGTAAAGTGAGGCAGTCATTCATTCATTCATTTGTTCAGTTATCCATCTCTCCATTCATTTCTTCTTTCCAGTAAATACTTTCTGCCGGTAGCCTTCCATGTGTTGTGGATTCAGCAATGCACAGGACAAATGCATGGAGCTTTCGTGAGGGCAGGAGGGACAGTAAATACATGAATACACATGAACGTACGGTGCATGTCAGGTGGTTCGGAGCAAAGCGATGGGAAACCCGGGCTGGAGGCTTTTTATCAGCAGAGGACACTCTGGAACCGAGCCCGGAGAGGAGTGAGGCACAGGGATGCCTGGGCCGTGTTGATTCCCTCTCCTTCCCCTTAAACAATGACAGTGACCATTTGTTCTCCTCCGAATGCTGGGCATCAGCCAACTGCTTGTGACACGACACGACAACTCGTGTCGTGTCACTCTCACCACTGCTCTATCCTATGACGTAGTTGTTATTATTCCCATTTTATAGATAGACAAAGTTGAGTCACAGAGAAATTCAACACCTTGCCCAGAGTCACCGGGTGAGTGACAGAGCCTGGAGTCACCAACTGTCCTTGCCCAACCCTTGGCTGCCCACAGGGGAGGTGGGAGTGCGAGAGGCTTGGTCTGCAACACCCTCCCCAGCCCAGGTGGAATGGCAGAGTGTTCTTGCCATTTCTCTCTAGCTCTCTGGGAAATTCTTGGCAGAGAAAGGAACTCTCAGGTCCAGGTGAAGACTATGAAAGTCTCGCCTGGGGACTCCTTCCTGCCACCGCCATCAGCTGGGAGCTCAGGACACCTGCCATGGAACGCAGTCTGTCCTCACCAGCAGCAGGGCCTGCCCATGGCTCGAGAAGCCACACACACTCAGAGCAGGATGGGTTAGCAGGAGCATGTGGTCCAGCTGCTGAGTTTACATGATGACCTGGTGGTCTAGCAAGTCAGGCCCACAGGCAGGACCTGACTTGACCCAGGACTCTGGATGCCCTGCCCAGGGCTTCCATGAGGCCCCTGAGGGAGCGTCAGTCCTGAGTGAAGATGGGGCCCTTGACGGAGAGAGAAACGTGAGACCAGGAGCTCCCAGCCCTCCATCCCCGAGCCTCTGTGAAGCTGAGGCCTCCTGTGAGCAGGTGGCCCTTGTGGGGCCCACAAGGGCAGGCCGGCCCAGGCTCGCTTGGGGCTTCCTCGTGGGGGATGTAGGAGCCTTTGATAGGTGGGCCAGGCAGGAGGGAGCTGGCGCTCCTGACCCGGAGACGTGGAAGTTGTGCACTACGTGCTGCTAAGTGCATTTTGAAGAGAAATTCCTCTGTCCTCTGTGTTGCCCCAGCAGTCACTGGAAGGCTGTGGTTGAGGCACAGAGGCAGGTGCAGGAAGTTCAGGGAAGGCAGGGAGAAAACTGGGGACTACAAGTTCAAACTCTCATTCTCCATCAGTCTGATGAAACCGCACCCCCCCAACACCCAAAACTCCAGACTCCAGCTGTCATCTTCTCAGAGAGAAGAGGTGAGATTGGCTCCAATAGGAGGAGAAGGGTAAAAGCAGCCTGGTTGGGGGGGGGGGTGGTTCTTGACTTGGGTAGGGAGGCGTGGTTCCCACATTCTCACCCCCAGATCCTTCTCTTGGAGAGCTCGGGGCCGCTCATGCACCCCTTGCAGAAGCTGTTTGCTTTCTCTGAGCCTCAGGTCCCTGATTCAGGTCACAGAATCCCAGGATCTGAAAGAAGCTTTTGGGTTATTTAGGCCAACTTTCCAATGCCGTGCCTGGATCATAACAAATTGCTACCCAGGCTGTGCTTGCATACCTGCAGAGATGGGGAGCTCCCTATCCCAGGCAGCCTTCTGAGAGCTCTGAATGTGAGGAAGTTCTTCATGCTGCACCTATGAGAGCCACATCTCTCAAAGCACCTTTGCTGTGGGAGTTTATGTGTCATCTGGGAACATGAGCCTGGCACACTGGGTTGATGCCACTTAGGAAGTGAGCCTTGGATTCTGCCAGCTAGAGCCACCTTGCAGTGACTTTCAGGCACTGGAACTTGCAGCGGCCCCAGCTGCAGTCTGCTCAGCCTCCAGCAAGCATCTCCTGCCTCACCCAGATTCCACGCCCCCATGGTGATGATGAGAGCGTGAGGTCCCTTAGAGATGGCCAGCCTGCTTTGTCCACACAAAGAAGCCAAGGCCCTGAGGAAAGTGATCAGCACCTGTTATTTGGCACCATACCCTTCTGGGATGGCGGGTCCCCTCTGTGACCCTGTGCCTTTGCTCTCCACACAGCTCAGAAGGTCTCATCCCAGCTCTGCCTTGGACACCACACCTGTAGGTGAGGTGTGATGAGGGCTCAGCCTCCACTGCTCGCTGTCGGGGTTCTGGGTCCCTGCAGCCATGCGCTATTTTGGAGGATAAAACAGATGCCCCCCAGCTATGATTGGTTGATGTTCCTGAGAGTCAAGAGACTGGAATTCAAATCCTGCCTCTAACCTTGGGCTGCACGTCCCTGGGCCTTCCTAGCTTTAGATCCCCGAATGCACAGTGAGACTGACAGTCAAATGCCCACCGAGGGTCCACCTGTGATAGGTAGAGAGCGTGAGAGGATGGGGCCCAGTGCAGGGACCCAGCCAGGAAACTGTCCTC